TAATGTAATACTATTTACAAAACTGGGATGACAAACACTGTTTTTCAAACTGCCTTGGTTTTTTCCTCATTAACCAGGATAATCCAGATATCTTTTCATGTCAGTGCATATACAAGAGTTCTTCAAAAATTTTGTGGAAAAATAGAATTAAAAGATAATACGAATCTTTTCACAAATTTTTTGAAGTACTCTTGTAGATCTGCCTTATTCATTTTGACAACCACAGAGATCCCGTCTCATCACTATATATCATAACATAACTTACACAGCTCCTATTGACAGACATTTACCTTGTTTACTATTTTTTTCAGTACATTTTAAACAATGCTGCAGTGAACATCCTTGTACATCTCTTGTATATTTGGATAAATGTTTCTAAATAATACACTCTTAAAAATATAATTACATTCAATAAAAAGTAAAACAAATATAAATTTTAAAAGTGAAACCGCTGATCCAAAGAGTATTTTAGTGGTTATTAACAAATTGTCCTCCAAAAATGTTGAGCCAATTTACAAACCCACCATTGTATTGGAGTAGCTGTTTCCCGACTCTCTTGTTAGTATTGGACAGTCTTGTTTTTTTGTTTTGCTTTGCTTTTAAAAATCCTTCCTAGATGTAGAGTTAGCAAATAAAAGTACAGGATGTCTACTTAAATTTGAATTTCAGATAAAAAATAAAGACCACCCACCTCCATCGGCTGGATGGCCTATGTTTCTGGTCTCTCCTTTGGAATCATTGGTAGTATCTTCTCTATTATCAATATTTATCTGCATCATTTATCTCATCCTATGTGGATGAGAAATTATTGCTACTTAAATTCACATATCCTTAAGATTTAGTGAGGTCAATCATATTTATTATCTATTTTTATGTCCTCTTTAGTGAACTACCTGTTTAAGTCTTTTTTGCTCCTTTTGCCAGTGGTCCATTATCTTAATGATTTATAAGAATTTTTTTATCTTAAAGAATCAGACAATGTTATATATGTCCCAGTTTTCCTGTAGACTATTTTTGTTTTTTCCACCATCTAGAAGTGTTGCATTTTCATGTGTAGTCCAACTTAATCAAGTTGTGCCACTATGACAATTTCTCAAGTCACCTGTTTGCCTTGTACGAATGCAAATTCCTGAGCCCCATTCCAGACCTAACTAATCAAATTTTGGGGAGTGAAATTTAGGACTCACTACATTATTTATTTGTTACTGGCAGCTGGCTGGTATGGGGATCTGAGCCCTTGACCTTGGTGTTATCAGTACCATGCTCTTTGAAGTGAGCCACTGGCCAGCCCTAGGTACTTTTTGTTTTGCTTTTTTGATGGTTGGCTGGTCTGGGGATCCAAACCCGTGACCTTGGTGTTATAACACCATGCTCTAACCAATTGAGCTAATTGGCCAGCCATGGACTCTCTACTTTTAAAAAGCTCCCTAGGGGATTTTCTTTCTTCTTTCCTATCTTCCCCCCTTCTTACTTCCCTTCTTCCTATCCATCCTTCCAGGCTTTTATTATATTCAGTGCTCAGCACTGAAGAATTTGCCAGAATCATTAAAATAAAATATAGAAGTAAACATACTAACAATGTATTTGGAAGCTATTGTTATCTTCTGTGAGAGTGTGTTGATCAATTAATATCAAAATGACTTCTTATTTATCGGTTGACATCAGGGAGAAGAAAAAAGAAATCATAACGGTTTACTCCATCTGACACTAAAAAAACCCAAAAAACCTTTTATTATGGAAAATCTCAAGTATATCCAAAAGTAGAGCATATAATATAGTTAATTCCCATGTATCTATTACCCAGCTTCAACAATTACCAATATATGGCCGGTCTAGTTTTACCTGCACTTCCTATATCTCCTACCATCAACCCATTCTCTTCCTAAATAAGACTATTTTAAAGCAAATCTCAGGGGATTCCTAAACTCATTCAAATTTGAGATCCAGAATTTTATGATTTCTGGATTTTGCATTGTGCTTAAGAAGTTCTTTCCAATTCCCAGAAAATATTTACGCGTGTTTTTTTCTTGCTAGTACCTATATGATTTCATTTTCTTTGGTTTCAATCTCAAGAGTCTAAAGTCTGCCATTATTAAAAAACAAAACAACTGGGGACATTAGAAGTAATGCTAAGGAATAGATACCTGAAATATCTTCTACAGAGATTTCAAATATCCGTTCTTTAGAATGCCATCCAACAGGACTTAACACCAGACCTTTCTTACATGTTACTAATGGCTAGCAAGATTATTTTCCATAGTGTTTTGCATTTCCGTTGATATTCGTATTTAATATAGTCTTAAATTACACCAATTAGTTAAAGGAAGGAGGTTAGAGAAGTACTTAGGCATGAGAATCAGACAATTAAAAATGTTAATGCTTTGAACACAAGAATTGAGTATTATTGAGGCTGAGAGGCCCATAGCTGTAGACTACTCCTTTGAGTCACTGCTGGTTGACTCAACATCAAGCTATAGTCCCTTAATCTCCTATCTGTAAAATTTGTATAACAGCACTAACCACCTACATCTGTTAGAAAAATGAGACTTGTACTTTCATCTTCTTTAAAGAAGTAAGCTGCCTAATTAGCTGAGTTTCCTTTAAATTTTTAGTTCTTGTCTTGATGAAGAAATTATTCCTTGGTAAATAAATATTCCCTTCCATTTGTAGAAGAATGGGAAAATAGAAAGCAAGACCTTGTAGAATATTCTAAAGGCTTTTATAATTCTGAACAAAATTTGCCACTCAAATATTTTAAAATTTTTTTGAGATAAAGTTCACATAATGTTGACCATTTTAACCATTTTAAAGTGTACAATTCAGTGTTTTCATATATTCACAGGTTGTGCAACTATTATCACTAATTCTAGAACATTTCATCACCCCAAAAGGAAACCCTTTCCATTCCCCTTTGTCCCAATTCCCTGGCAACTACTAATCAACTTTCCGTTTCTACGGATTTGTCTTTTGTGGACATTTCATATAAAAGGAATCATACAATATGTGGCTTTTTGTGTCTGTCTTCTTTCATTTAACATAAGGTTTTCAAGATTCATTTATGTTGTGGTAGAATCAGTACTACTTTTATGGCTGAATAATATTCCATCAAATGGGGCTGGCTGGTTAGCTCAGTTGGTTAGAGTGTGGTGCCAGTAACACCAAGGTCCAGGGTTTGATCCCTGTACTGGCCAGCTGCCAAAAAACAAGCAAGTAAAAAAATATTCTATCATATAGATCTACCACTTTTTATATATTCAATCATCCATTGATGGACATTTGGGTTGTTTCCTTTTTGGCAATTATGCATAATGCTATGGACATTTGTGCACAAGTTTTTGTGTGAATATGTTTTCATTTCTTTTGGGCACATATCTAGGAGTGGAATCGCTGAGTCATTGGGTAACTATGATTCTTAACTTTTTGAGGAATTGCCAAACTGTTTTCCAAAGTGACTGCACCATTTTATGCTCCCCCCAGCAAGGCACAAGGTTTCCAATTTTTCCACATCCTCACTTACTTTTTTGTTTTATTTAAAATTATAGCCATCTTAATGGGTGTGTGGGAATGAAGTGGTACCTCATTGTGGTTCTGATTCACATTTTCCTAATGACTAATGATGTCGAGCATCTTCTCGTGTGCTTATTGGCCATTTCTGTATCTTCTTTGGAAAAATATCTATTCCTATCCTTTGCCCATTTTTAAATTGGGTTGTCTTTTAATTGCTGAGTTATAGGGGTTCTTTGCAACATCATAGGGAGATCCTATCCAAGATTAAAGCCAACACAGAAGTAAGAGCTGACAGGAAAAGACTGAGGCATAATGACATATTTTGAAGCTTGTATCCATTATTGCATAAAGTCATACCAGTTTACCTGGACTTTGGCTTTCTGAACCAATACATTCTTAGCGGCTAATCTGACAAGAATAGAGAGATGATCTCCCATGTCAAGGCTCCTCAAGTACAATGGAAAATTTCCCTCAGTTTTCCTGATCCCCAGGCCCTTCACTATACTGTGTGGAATCTTATCATGATGGCCCTGGTAGGCATTGGGCAAAATGGTGGGGGGAAGCTGAATGATGCCTGGCACATTATAAGTGCCACCCCCAAGCCCCAGAGGGCCCTGGCAGAAATTTCAGACCACAGAGACCTTTGCAAACCTCCGTTCTGCTTATAAATGCCACAACTTAAAAAATAAAGCAACAAAGTAAAAAGTAACAAGTAACCAATCCACCAGGGTAGATAAATTAAAAAGTATCTTAAAGTACCAGAGTGGCTAGCTATGACTCTACAGAGAATAGAGAATCCCTGCATTAGACATAGGCATTGTTGCCACTTTTTAGGAGCTGTGTAACTTCTTAACGTTCATGATTTCCAAAATACTTTCCTACCTATTATTGTCCCTAGGTTGCAAGATGGTTCAGCCAACATGCCTTCAAAGATTAAGTATTACTGAATGTTCAAAAGTAGATGAGTCCAAGGCCGGCCAGGTGGCGCACTGGAGAGTGCACCGCTTGGGAGTGCAGCGGCGCTCCCGCCGAGGGTTTGGATCCCATGTGGTGACTGGTTCCCGCTCACTGGCTGAGTTCTGCGCGGGCACAACACTGAGGGTTGCGATCCCGTTGCCAGTCCCCGGTACGGGCGCGACACCGAGGGTTGAGAACACGTTACTGGTCAGTAAAAAAGACAAAAAGGAAAAAAAAAAAAAGTAGATGAGTCCAAAAGTAAAGGACTCACCGTGTAGACTTAAATAGAAGAGGTTAAGGAGGAGGAGTTTAAGAAATCAAGGGTGGTGAATGAAGCTGATGCACAGCTGCTTCCTATGTGCCTTTGGAACATGCATGAAGGATTAAATACTTTTGTATATGAAGATTAATGACACTGTGGTAATCAGACATAAGGAAACAAGATATGAGGTCACAATACTACGGAGATGCGTTAATTGCATTGAGGAAGCTTCAAGAAGTCTTCAAAGAGGAGGAAACACATCAAGAGACAGAAACAGGATCTGTAAACTACATTTATTGAATGCATACTGAACACATCATGTATAAAAGAGGTAGAATGGGGACAGGTAATAACTTGAAGAAATTAAATATACACATTAATTTTATCTCTAATTCTAACTACTAGAGAAGTATAAAATTTGTACAAGTTATACTTTATAATGAAGTTCTAATGCCTGTCAAAAGAATAATAAGCTACACGTATACTGCGATAAAAAGTTTTTTAAAAATTGTGCTTAACATCATAGAATTTCCCTAAAATGGGTTGGTAAAATTACTATACAGCATCCATTCTCATTATACACATATATTTCCCATTAAAGATTATTTGAATAGTACAAATACCTTGACCCCATTGCTGAGAAATCAATCCATGGTCAACAATACATATGCAGTTCCTCTACATCACAGTATTTGGATTAAGTCCATTTCTCCATTAAAGTCCACCTTATTTTCAGTTTAGCTTACTACCAAGTTCTCTTCAGAACTGTTTATATGTCTTTTGTCTGATCATCTTCTTCGAGTTTCCTGATTTCATTTTTTAAACAATTTATAGTTTCACGACTTGCTTTTAATCTTTCTTTAAGTTCTGCAATTTCAAAGCTTGTTTTTTTCTTGGCAGCTTCTAATTTTTCTCTGGTTTTCACTTCAAGTTCTGCAACTAAAGAGAACAAATACTTTTACTAAATTATTTAATTTTTCCCACATGTCCAAGATATGTCATAGAGTAATAAATATGGCATTTCCTTAGGTCAATGTTTCCATGATGAAATGTAAACAACTTAAGATATATAACAATAAACATGGGCAAGAGGGTCAGGGGTGGGGAAGGTAAGAAAGTCTGAATTCCCAAGATAGAATCTAAGATGTTTTCTTTTTTTTGCCTTTTTCCGTGTCCGGCAACGGATCGCAACCCTCAGTGTCACCCCCGCACCGGACCGGGACCGGCAACGGGATTGCAGCCCTCGGTGTTGCTCCCGCACCTCGCTCAGCCAGTGAGCGGGAACCGGTCTGTATGTGGGATCCGAACCCTCAGCGGGAGCACCGCCGCGCTTCCCAAGCGGCGCACTATAGCAGTGCGCCACCGGGCCGGCCCCAGAATCTAAGATGTTTTCTACAACTAAGAATGAAATTCTAGTCACCAAGTTAGGATTTGAAGACATAATGTCCTTGCTTTTCTCCATATACACATTAATTTGGAAAAATGGGGGCATACAAACCCAAGAGATATCAGCTAATAAGGACAGCTAACTAAAAGTATTCTTAAATTCATGTTCATGTGAAATTTACATAAACAAAATCACACTACCAAAACAAGCCCATATTTTTTTTCCAAAAAAGGTAGCAATAACCACCTAAGTGTGAATTCCAGCTCTACTTATTAGCTGTGACACTCTAAGTTATTTCACCTCTCTATGTTCATTTCCTCATTTATAAAATAGAGATTATAATGACAAACACATCATAGTATTTTTTATTGAGAAGATTTTAAATAAATTAATGTATATAAAGTACCCAGAATACTGTTTAGTACATAAAAAGCCCTATCAACTATTATGACAACAGAGAAACACTAAATGATATTTGAAACATTCTAGCTGGACACATAACACATCACTTAAAAAAAAAAGTCATCACTGCAAGATAGTTTCTTTCTTTTTTTGCCGGGGGTGGGGGGAGCTTGCTCTAACCGAGCCAACCATCCGCCCTACTACAAAACAGAATACATCTATTTAAATATGCCAGTTGGATAATGTAGCATCAAGTTTTATAAAGAAAAATGCCTGCTTGTATCCAACATTTCCATCTTGTGGACATTTTAGGTAATTGCTGCTAATGACCATTAAAGTACAGTTGTACTTTCACTAATATAAGATGGCCATTATTTGGAAGCAGGATGGTTTGGTTAAAAAAAAAGAAAAACACAAAAAACCACAACAAAAACAACAACAAAAAATCCTACAAAACAAACACAAACACAACAAAAAAAAAACAACTTTGAAATTGGAAAGATTTGAGTTCAAATAAACCCTTGGTCTCTTAGCTGAATGCTGACATCTCTAAGTCTCCCTCAATCTCTTCTATAGGATAAGGTTAAAACGATGTACTTCTCAGAGGATTTAGGAGAATTAAGTGAAGTAATTATATGTAAAGTACATAAAAAACAAGCAATAAATATTAATGAGTACTTTTCTTATTTTGCTCACTGCTGGTGAGCTGCTTTCTGTGATACATCCTAAAACACAAATAAATTTTTATACTGCCAAACTAATACATATTTTTCTTTGTAATTTCTTTCATTGCTCCTATTTACAAAATTATTTATTTTTAAAAACAGGTAGTACACACATGATAAAAAACTAAGATTAGAAAGGGTAGACAGTGAGAAAATATCTCCTTCTACCCCTGGCTCTCCCCACCCCCCACCATCAGCCAATGCTTCTTCTCAGAGATAATCACAATTAGATTTCTCTGATATTTTCCTAGAAATAGTCTGTTGATATATAAGCACATACCCAAGAGTGGTTTCATTTTCTTCCCCCCAACACAAGTGTTATCATACTATACACACTGCTCTGCACCGTGCTGTTTCACTTAACATTGTATCTGGAAGCTCATTCCATATCACAGAGCTGTCTCATGCTTTTTAATGACTGCAAAGGACTTCATTGTGTGGCTACATACAATTCATTTAGTCTGTCCCCTATTGATTCAGAGTATTTCCAGTTTTTTTCTATTATCAACAATGCAATAATGTATATGCTGTGCTTAATCATTTAAGTACACTTAAAGGAAAATCAGTATACTTGGAGGATAAATTCCTGTAAGTGAAACTGTTAGATTAAAGGATATACTCATATCTACTTGTAATTTTGGAAGAATGCCAAGTAATTCTTAGAGGAGGTACTAATTTATAATTCCACTAGCATTGTATGTCTGTTTCCCTATTGAAACAACTTTTTGGTTTTATTTAATATGAAAGGTTAAAAACAGTATTTGTGAGTAGTTTTAATTTGCATTTCTCTTACTGCTGCTGAGGCTTACTAATCTTTTTATGTTTGAGACATTTCTCCCTTCCTTTCTATGAACTGTCCATTTTTCCTTTGCTCATTTTCTATTGGGTTATTGGCCTTTCTTATTGATTTGTAGGAGCTCCTTATACAGTAGTCCCCCCTTATCTGAGATTTCACTTTCCACAGTTTCAGTTACTCATTGTCAACCATGGTCTGAAAATAGGTGAGTATATGTACAGTAAGACAGTTTGACAGAGAGATAACACATTCACATAACTTTATTACAGTATGTTGTTTTAATTCTTCTATTTTATTATTAGTTATTGTTAATCTCTTATTGTGCCTAATTTATAAATTAACTTTATTATAGGTATGTATGTATAGGAAAAACTTAGTATATATTAGTCATGTGTTGCATAATGACAGGGATACATTCTGAGAAACGCATTGTTAGGTGATTTCATGACGTTAACACCATAGAGTGTATTTTCACAAACCTAGATGGTACTGCTTATTACACACCTAGGCTATATGGTATAAGCCTAATGCTCCAACCACAGTCATATATGCAGTTGGTTATTGACCAAAATGTCCTTACACAGTCCATGACTATACAGGGCTCAGTATTATTGATTTCAGGCACCCACTGTAGGTCTTGGAATGTATCCCCAGTGGTTAAGGGGGAGCTAATATATATTAAGGAAACTAGACATTTGTGACATGAGTACAATTTTTCCATGGCCTGTCAGTCTTCAGACTTTGTTCACAGTGCTTTTTACTATGCAGAAATTCCTATTGCTTTGTACCCTCTCTCTCCACAGCAATCAAAAGAACATATATTGAGTGATAGGCACTTCATTAGATACTGGGGTACAGAGGTAGAAGACAGGCAAGAACAAAAATGCAGTACAGTGTCACAAGGTAAGCACAGGGAACAACAAGAGTAGACTGGATTCATATCAAGGGGAAAGAGTATGTATGTATCAAGGAAGGCTTCTTGGCAGTAGTAAAATCTGAACTGAGTTTTATAGAATAAAAAAGGAGTTAGGTAAAGTTGACATGGAAGGCCCTGGAAGCGACATATATACATTTTGGAAACCAGAGGGAGTTCTGTATGACTGTAATAGGTAGCTGTTTTAAATCTAATCAGGAAGACCTGACTTAATTGTCAAAAAGACAGCATTCACTGTAGACATAAAGATTCTTGTTTGATTTAGTAATGATACTTTATTTCTGACAGCTCATAAGATTGCAAAGGGCACAATATACAGTCATGTGCTGCATTAATGACATTAATGACATCAATGACTGACCACATATAAGATGGCGGTCCCATAAGGTTGTAACAGATCCCTTACCGGCCAGCCACCAAAACAAAACAAAATGAAACAAAAGTTATAATGGAGCTGAAAAATTCCTATTGCCTAGTGATGTCAGAACATTGTAGCCCAATTACCTTATTTTTTATAAATTTAGTGTAGCCTAAATGTACAGTGTTTGTCTACAGTACTGTACAGTGATGTCCTAGGCCTTCACATTCACTCACCACCCACAATTTCCAGCCCTGGAAGATCCACTCATGGTAAGTGCCCTGTACAGGTGTGTGCCATTTGTTATCTTTTATACCATACTTTTACTATACCTTTTCTATGTTCAGATATGTTTAGATACACAAATACCACTGTGTTAAAACTGCTGACAGAATTCAGTACAGTAACATGCTATACAGGTTTGTAGCCTTGGAGTAATAGGCTATACCATATATAGCCAATGATGCATTTCTCAGAACATATCCCTGTAGTTAAGCGATGCATGACTATATATTAAATGCTTATATAAAAAAGAAAATTATGTTTTTAATTTCCCAAAGAAGTCTCAATTTAGAGGGAATGAATCCAAAGGTGATTACTTTTGCAGAGTCAATATAACTTATTAGTTAGTAGTACAGACTGTAAGGCTTTGAGACAGAGACAGAACAACTTATTAGTTAAGAGGACACACTCTGGGTTTAAATCCAGTCTCCATGAGGTAATTTCAGGCAAGACAGCAAATCTCTCTAGGGTCTTTACCTACAAAATGAGGCTAATCAAGGTACCTTTCTCCTAGGGTTATTATGGGTATTCAATAAGTTAAGACATGCAAAAACTTGTCTGGTATATAGTAAGCTCTCGGTAAGAGCTCACTATCATTTTTATTATTCCTTGTAGAAGCAATTACTACTATTAATAGTTAGATCAGTAGTGCTTAAGTAAACTTCCACTGGTTTACGATATAAACATCTTTACAAACGTGTTTAATATGTTCCATAATGAGCAACCTCTATCCCGAATATTATTCTATCTAAAAACATTACTAAATTTTTAGAGCCTAAGTTCTGAGGACTGCCTCAATTTCTGAATCAAGTTCTAGCTCTACCACTGTATAACCCTGGCCGAGATCTTAAACTCCTGTGCCTCAGTTTCCTTTTCTAAATGGGATTACCTAATAAAGTTGTTGTGGAATTAAACGTACAAGCTAAGAGAATACAAACAGTAAGCACTCAATAAACCTGATATTTTATTATTACCAAATATTGAGTATCGTACCCTCAAATAGGTAAAAGTGTACATATCATTTTTAAGCCTCTAATTAATATTCACAAACTATTTTTAATAGTTTACTAGGATTACTAGTAATACTGTGATTAACATTCATATTTCCTAGAAGGCTATAGCAATTTATACTCACACAAACAATTCATGAGAATGCAAATTTCACCACATCCTCAATGGGTACAACTATTATAAATTCCTTTTGGTAATTTGATAGGACAAATAAAGTTACTCATTACTGTTTGGTTCGCATTTTTAAAATTACTAGCAGGACTAAATATTTTCCTATTTTATTTACTGATCTCTTCCATCTGTCTGTCCCTGTCTTTTGTCCATTTATCTATTTAAGTTAAAAATTTTTTTTCTATTTATAAATTTTAGTTTTTTTTAAAAAAAAATAAAGATATTAATCCTTTGCCATACTTTCTGCAAATTTATTTTTCTTTTTTGCCCTTTTTTTTTTTTCTATTTATAAATTTTAGTTTTTTTTTTTTTTTAAATAAAGATATTAATCCTTTGCCATACTTTCTGCAAATTTATTTTTCTTTTTTGCCCTTTTGAAATACAGAAGTTAAACACATTTAATAAATTCAAGTTTGTCCTTCTTTTAATATAATTTCTTCTAGCTCCTTAAATTTAGAGTCATCCCTACTCAGGGTAGCGAGTAATCTAATTCTAAAAAAAACCAGGTTGGTTGATTTTTCTTTTTTTGGTGGCTGGCCAGTATAGGGATCTGAACCCTTGACTCTGGTGTTAACAGCACTGTGCTCTAACCAACTAAGCTAACCGGCCAGCCCAGCTTGGTTCATTTCTTAAAAATATTTAACTACTTTTAATCAAACTGGAGTTTGTTTTGGTAAATACTATGAAGTGATGATCTAAATTAAGTTTTCCTACCAGAAGATTACCAATTGTGCCTACACCATTTATGGAATTAGCTTTTTCTTATTGATTTGATGCTGTTAAGAAAATGAACTGAATACAAAATAGGTAATTTACTGATACAAACTTCTCAAGGTTATACAGCTCCATACATAAGCTTTAACCCATCAAAAGAGATGTACGGAACAGCCTTTTCATAAAACATATTATTTATATCTACTTATATATAAATGAATTAATATTAGTTTTGTTGAAAATACGAAAATGTGGGCATTTGAATAACAACTTAAAGTAGCCTATAAGTAGTGCTTTCACCTTTTCGAAGTGATCATACACATACCTGTCTTATGTTCATAACAAAGTAGGCCAGGCAAATATTTTTGCAGATGCAGAAATTGAAGCATACCAATTTACAGTGACCAAGTAGCAAAATTATAATTAGTATCCAGAACTTTTAACTCCTGGTCAAAATTTTCATGAAGATGTAAACAAAACACTGCCATAACCACTAAGGGTTAATCAGCCATCTCCTTCCTCCCTGCATTAACATCCTTCCACTTTTTCTTTTACTCGATCACTCCTTTCAGCCTACAAATACACGGGTTTATTTTCCCCTGAAAACAAAACCTTCTTGACCCCATATCCTGCTTCAAGGGCTCCCCTTTACAGCCAAGCTCCAAGACAGAGTTGTCTATAGTGGCTGTCTCCAATTCCTCTCACCTCGTTGTCTCTTATCCACTCCAACTGATTTTCTGTCTTTACTATCCTCCTTAAACTGCCCCTGTTAAAGTCATCAAGGGCCTCCATCTTGCTATATCTTATTTCTTGGCCTTCATCTTACTTGACCTTTCAGGAGTATAGGATACAGCTGATGATTCCCTAGCTCTTGATACACTTTCTTCATTGGCTTTCAGGACATTACATGCACCTGGTTTTTCTCCTGCCATACTTGCTGTCAGTTCTTAATTCCTTTTGTTGGTCATCTCCTCAACCTCTAAATGTTGGAGGGCCAGGGCTCAGTCCTTAGACCTCTTTTTTACCTTCACTTACTCCTTTGATGGCACCATTTGTTCTCATAATTTATCAATTCCATCTGTATACTATTAATTTCCAAATTTATATCTTCAGCCTTGACCCCTCCTTGGATACCAGACTTTAGGGTGCAATATCCCTCTCAACATCTCCACTCACACGTCTTACAGACATTTCACATCCAACATGTACAAAACTACACTCAATTTTTCCCCCAAAACCTGCTCCTCTCTGACTTCCCATCTTCGTACAAAGCAATAACATTTTGGGGCTCTTCCTCAGGCTCAAAACCTTAAGAGTCATCTTTGCTCATCATTCTCCCACACCTCATTATTCAAACCATCAGCAAATGCTATTGTACCTATGGTCAAAACAGGTCTAGAATCTGACCCCTTCTCACCATTGCTATCACTCTGGTCCAAGTCACCATTCTATCTTATCTGGATTATTCAGACAGCCTCCTAATTATTCTGCTTCTACCATTTCCATTCTACAGTCTATTTCTTAACGCAGCAGCCAGGATGATCTTTTTAAAATGTTAGTCTGATAATGTCACTCCTTTGCTCAAAACCCACAAATGACTTCACATCTAAATCAGTTTAATAATCTAAAGTCCTCACATTTATCCACAGTTCCCTATATAACCTGGTCCCCTATTAACTTTTCTAGCCTTATCTTCCACTCCTCATTCCCTTGTTTGCTCTACTTTAGTCACACTGGCTTCCTTGCTGCTCCTCAGACATGCCAGGTGTTCCCTTACCTCAGGGCTTTTGCCCTTGCTGCTCCCTCTACATGTAACATTTTTTCCTCAGATCACTCCCTTACTCCTTTAGGTTTCCAAATGCTACAATCTCAGGAAGCATTTTTCTTGACCTGATATTTAAACCATCCCCTCCCACCGTTTCCTGCACTGCTTTATTTTTCTCCCTAGCACCCAATCACTACCTTAAACTTTATTATTCTATTTATTTAATACCTGTCTTCCTCCCACTAGAAAGTAAGCCCCAAGAGGGCAGGGTGTTTTGTCTGATTTGGAAACTGCTCTGACCCCAGCACCTAGATCAATGCCTGGCATATAACTGGTGTCCAATATGTATTGTAAACGAATGAATGAAAGATCAAAACTCATTTACATCACCGAATGAACAGTGACATAAATGCTAACAGAGAGATGGCAAATAAGTTTCATCTTGAATGTCAGCTGTAAATGACTGGTAGTAGACACATGGAGTGATGTGTAGAGAATTCTGAGGCCATGTCAGCTTAAAGGGAAAATATAGTAAGACTGATAATCAATGTG